AAAAAAAAAAGTGTGTGGGGGGGACATGATTCTGAAGTTCGGTATTTCAAAATGTAATTCATATCCAATATTCTATCCTCGAAAGTGTTATGTGATCCAGATTAGAGCCATCAGTCCGCATTGGTGGCTTTAATATGTAATCAAAAAGTTCTCGCATCTGGTCATATTCTCCATAATCTCTTGTTTTGGTTTTGTTAGCCTCACTGTTCATAATTGACCTTTAAGTGTTGCTTTATTTGCGTGCTATTTGTATTTTGTTGCTTTTTTTCAGTGCATCTTACAGCTTATTTTGTGGTTTTTTGTTTTGTTTTGTTTTTTTCCATCTTATTTCTGGCATTTTCCATCATTCTGTGGCCATGATTGTGGATGTATTTTGGTTTTGCCTGCCTTGCTGTGTCTCTTGCTGCACTCCATAGATCCCCGTTGCACAGTCCTCTGTCATGGATGACATTGAGGAGTGGCTCAGTACCGACTTGGTGAGACTTGACTTTTTATATTTCGTTTTTCATGTAGGAAGTAGGACTTGTGCATATGCATAACTTTTAATGCAAGCTATTGGTGCTCCTCTGTGGTTACATATACAGGGAGGGAATGACACTGTATAAAGCATATATTTGGGTTTTTTTCCCCAGGGAAGGAAATAAATAAGTACATGGACTTATAGTTGCCATTTGCAGTCACACGTTTCTGAGCTGCTGTTGTATTTTCACTTCTCCATTCTCAGTGTCGCCGAGGTGGTATGATTATCAGGAATTTGGATTTAAGGAACTCAATTAAGGAAAGCATTTAAGCACATGCTGAAGTCCACCTTTATTTAACACAGTATTTAAGCACATGCTTAAGGCCTATTGAAGTCATTGGGATTTAAGCACATGCTTAATTTTAAATCTATGCTCAAGGGCTATGCTGAATAGCTGGACTGCTGAATCGGGGCCTAAGTTCTTTACAGTTAAACAGTAAATCTTACCTGTCTCCATTTAAATTGGTTTGACAGCTGTGGCACACTTTCAAGAACTTTTAAATGTCTATTCTCTGGCCCTGCACTCCTCTTCTTTTGGCTAATGTCATTTTACAATCTTGAAACTTCACTGCGGGCGGGAGGGGGGAGTTTTTCTGCTGATTTTTTGCTTTTCCCTATTTTGACAAATGTTTAGCTCAGCCTCCTGTTCCCCAGTTCAAAGTAAGTGACCAGGCCTTGTCACGGAATACTGCAAGGAAGTAACATCAGTACAGCTCAGCTGATGGACACGGTAGAGCAAGCAATAGCGTCCTACGTTAAGCCCTGGCTACGTGCTCATTAAAAAACTTCTGTACAATAGAATGATGCTTACACCTTACATGATGCTTAATCTTCAAAGTGTTAGTCTTCCCAAAACCCTGGTAAGGCAAGTGGTATTCCTGTTTTACAGATGGGGAAAGTGAGGCAGAGAAGTTACTCCTCACTTCCAAAGGAGACTAGATTTTTTTTTGGGGGGGGGTGTTAAAATACTTGACAGTGTCCTTTTTTTTAATGTGGTAATTATTTGAAAATTATGCCACCTAGTTGGGATTTATTACAGTTTCCTTATTTAATGATTATGAATTCTCAAATCCTGGCGAAACACATGCTAGATGTCTGAAAGGAAAAACGTACAGTACTAAACTTGTGGCATGTTAACCATTGCTACTTCTCCTGGCAACACACTAGCTTCCTATCATTTTATTTCAGCCCTCCCATCTTATTCTTATCTACGTTCATGGTGTCACATGCTTTACAATCAGCTTTTTTTCCCCCCCTTCAATCATGAATTCTAAATCCAAAATGAACCATCCATTTTATTCAGGAAAAATATTGTCCCTAAACACTTCATTGGGGGTGTCTACCTCATTTGATTAAGCTTTTAAATAAGATGCCCTATTAGCGAAAGCCACAGCCATGATGTCCTAAAGGAATTGTAAACAGGTGAGGTGGCATCTCCTGTAGCTATTCAGTTTTGTATCAGGTAATGGCTTCTCTTGATAAGAAAAGGCCTGCTCTCTTGAAAGTGGAGAAGATGGAGATTAACTGACTGTCACTCAGGTCTAATGGAGAGTGCACTGATAATGGATGTCACCAGTAATCAATAGCACCATCATTTGGACTATTTCTCTTGCTCTGCAACTCAGAGACATACTGGATCGTTCGTCTGCCTCCTGACATGAGCACCATGTGACTCATCTAGGTCATCTTGCTCCAGTAGTAACTGTGGTTAAATAAAGGGGCAGAGGCAATGAATGATTTGGGTTACTTGCTTAGGGTGAAACTGAAAGCGAAGTGAAGTACATATGTTCATACTTGTTTCTTTGTTCCAACTGCAGAAAGGAGAAGAACTGGAAGAAGGCGTGACAAGTGAAGGTAAGCAGAGAAGCCTCTGGCTTTCAGAGCTGTCTCAGTCCAGTGCCTTTGAGTAGAATATCCATATTGCTCTCTTCTGATACAATCACCCAGCAGAGATCCTCTTCCAATCCACCAAACTCATGGTAGCTGATGTTCCATACTGCATCCTTCTGGAGCATCTTCATTGAAATGGGAAGTGGTGGAGAATTTCAGGAGGGAACTACAAAAAACCCACCTGTTTGCGCTGGTTACCTTGGTAGCTTTCTGTGCTTCACTTTTTCTTCACTGTAGCGGTGTAGTGCCTCTGTAGCAACATACGAGACACTGAACTCCCTAAGCACTTTGAAATGATTGTCCCCTGTTTATATCAGGATGGGATGTTTCTGTTCCCAGTTTCCAGGACTCTCTTCTCTCGCCCTCCCTGCCTCCTGGTGGAAGGAACTGAGTTTTCTCTTCCTTTTTCATCTCACCACTTTCCCCTTTTATTTCAAATCTCCCCTCTGCTGGTCTAGCTGCCATGTGGTGCCTCCCTGGCAGATGGGCATAACCTTGAATATTTATCCTTCTTGCCCCTAGCAGGAGTGATCAGGCACCTTGAGCAGCTTTTATTAGTTACTTTTAGAAAAATAGATTAATCAAGAGCTGGGTAAACATCCCAAATGATCATCTTAAAACGAGCTGTTTTAAAAGGGTTAAATCAAGAGCCCAGAAGGGTCCTATTTTAGCCTCATTAACAGAAAAAATAATTCTGCAAAAGCAGACGCACTGGCTTTGAGGAGCAGGAGAAGGCAGGCAGGCAGCAGGATAGATCCAAACAAGAGCAATCTTTAAAAAAAATGCAGTGGCCATATCTGAGCAGTAAGACATGTCGGGGCATATTCTGTGGCTCTGTGGGGGTAGATGCCATGCTTTCAGGGTGTTAACTAGTTAATCCTGATGTAAACAGTGCGTCTGATTTCCGAACTTCAATGAGACACCACAGTTAATGTATAGGTTGAGGGTTAATGAAGCATGCCCCGGCATGTCATAAAGCTGTAACGAGCGACACACTATATAGTGCTCAGCAAAAAACAAGCCCAAGAAAATGCCCTCCAACTTTTCAACTCTTTCCCCCTCGCTGCAATTTTTTCACTTTCCCTGGGCATGCCCCACTTGTACTGTGTGTTCCCAGACTTTGTTCCTGCCCGTATGCAATGCTCCGAAACCAATCCTGGCACGTGATTTGCCCATGTGCTTTGCCTAGCAATTGAGTGTGTGAGAGAGAGCAAAGTTCACTTAAGGGATTCTAAACTGCATAAGAATGGTGGGGGAACCTATAAATATTGACAGGCATGACTCCGATACCATCCGTTGGAGTGTGGGAAATGTTCATTTCCTCCCCCTTTCCCCACCCACAAGAATAGCACTTGATGGTATTTCTCCCAATGTTTGGGATCGCACCCTTGACTGGCATTTGAGTTTTGATCTACCCTGCTGACTAAACTGTATTACTGTGATGCTTAGGTATATCGCCATATATTATATTATCTCATAGAACTGGAAGGGACCCTGAAGGGTCATCGAGTCCAGCCCCATGCCTTCACTAGCAGGACCAAGTACTGATTTTACCCCAGACCCTTAAGTGGCCCCCTCAAGGATTGAACTCACAACCCTGGGTTTAGCAGGCCAATGCTCAAACCACAGAGCTATTCCCCTCCCTCCCCCCGGCAATCTGTACCCTTGTGAGGAAGCCATATTTGTGCATGTGGCTTGTGTCTATGAAAGGTTGGCCCAGGGGATTGACAGTGGGGACAGAGCAACCTAGGGCTCGTAACCCCCTATTGACAGCATTCCCCCTCCCGTGTAGCAAGGTGGGAGGAGGTTGTTCCAAAGTGGAAAACATTGAGACCCACTGGTACAGAGCCTTTTCCTTTTGTCAGCGGTGACCATAAGTAGTTGTTACCCTCAGATGGCTGTACCGGGGGCCTTGTGTGAAATGCGTTTGGGTCTCTGTGCTAGTTCTGGTAGTGGATTCTCTGGCATGGATACCTGTGCTCTGGGAACCAGACCAGCTGCTCACTTTGTTGGCAAGCTCACCAAAGGGATGAGAAGTTTTGATGGCCCATGGAGACAGCTCTTATCCCTTGCGGGGTCAAGGATGGAACACACTGGGGCAGGGGGCAGCATGAGGAAGCGTTCAGTGATCATGCCTATGCTCTGCTTGCCCTGTGCGTACCCAGAGAACAGTCAGTGCACTGCTAGATTCGTGCAGAAGACCATCCCTAGTTCGACCTTAACTCTGATTCTTCTCAATGTTTTTTTGCGTTGCAGAGTTTGACAAATTTTTAGAAGAACGAGCCAAAGCTGCCGAGACGGTCCCAAATTTACCTTCTCCTCCACTGGAGGCCCCCACTCCTCCTACGAATCCTTCAGGCCGGAAGAAGCAGGAGCGCTCAGAGGATGCCCTCTTCGCACTGTAAAGAGCACTCCTGGCTACCATCCCCGTGCTCTGCGGAAAAATGTCTCTGTACAGTCACATTGTCCTCTCACAGTTCTTGGCTAACCATGACCCCCCTTGCCCTCCTGGTTTCATCAATTGCTTCTCCGGCTTATCTCTGAAACACCCCCCCCCCCCATCCCCCCAGCTGACCTTTGTATTAAAGGCCAGCTCTGCTCCTGCCAGACCACAGTTCTCCAGCACTAGCTTAACCTGCACCCCCCCTTCCCATCCAAACAACTCTTAATGCTGAAAACCCCTTTAAAACGCATGAGTATTTCTTTACCTTGTTGATATGAAAGTGTAGAGAGAGCAGCCTTGCCTTTGACTTACATAGGGACCACCCCCTTCTGCAGGTAGGTGCTTCCGAATAGGCCGGTCTGAGTGTCAATCCGTATGTAATTGACTGAAACGGAATGGAGATGTATTTTAATTTTAGATACAAAGGTCAAGCTATCAGCTTCTAATAGGTTTAGAGAGTAAAGAACAACAGCTTTTCCCTTTCAACATGTGCTTCACAAGTTACGTTTCGCCCCCCACCCCCACATCTCCTAGTACCGCATGGTGGTTGCTTTTCTCCACTCTGTGGTGCTTCCAGTGTGTAGTCTCACAGGATTTATTTTTCTGAGTTGATCTAAGCTTGCTCTGATTTGAAAGCAATTTGTTAGCTTTGTCCAGCAGAGCCGTGAATAGGAAAATGGCTATTGTAACACTAGATATTGTATGAAGTATTTCACTCATTGAGGGAGCTTTTCCCCTATAGTATTTTGTCTAGAATGTGTGCCTTTTTAAAACTGTTACATTTCTCCCAAGCTGGAGAATACTTCTCCAGTAATTAGCTCAGATACTAAGCAGGCGCTGCCTTCATCTCCTCAACTGTTTGAATAACATCCATGCAAATGGATGGGACTGAAAGACGTAATGAGTCTGACTGGCCACACTGGAGGGGCATGTTTGCTGAATGTCCCTGGTATGCCCTGTAGCACTGGAGGGGTAAAACCAGAAATGTTGTTAGAGGTAGGTCATCAGAAAAAGGGGCCAGAGTTGTGATTTCTTGTAGGAGACTTCCTAGACAAATGGATACTGGGGGAAAGATTTTAACTGGCACTTTGGCTGTGCATATTGGAGAGGCAGTTCTTTATTTTCCGGCTAGAAGGTTTGGGCTCAAACACTGGCTGGCTGCGGTCCTATTGTATGTAATGTGAAATAGACGTGGGATGCCCTTTGCCATCTCTGCCTCCTTACAACCACCTAGTGCTAAGAGGCGCCTGCCCCCCCCCACCCCCTTTCTGCCTGCATGCTTGGATTCTGTTCCCTCTGCTCGTCAGAGGAATAAACTAACAATGCTGTCCTCCTTGGAGATGCCCCAAAGGATTCTGCAGTGTGTTTGCCTTGTGGAGACCAGCATTTCCAGTATAGTCCTATGCTACTCTCCTCTACACCCACCCCCTCACATACCCTGCACAGATTCCTGGGTAGCAAGCCAGTGGAGCAAGATGGAACAAAAGAGTCCATACACTTGAGAGCCGAGTATCAGTTAAGCACACTTGCACTTAGAACGCTGTTTCTCCCAACTCACTAGTCATCGTTCCTGAGGGCACGAGAATTTTTAGGCAGCGAACGGCTTCGTTTTGATTCGGCACGTCATGACTTCCCTGCGTACTGCTATGTGTGCGCCACTCTCACCTGCTCTAGACCACACTTCGAACCATTCTTACAGTCTAGTATTTGGATGTAGCTAATGCTTCTCTCCCCCATGCCAGCTCCCTGAATGTTGATCTGAAATTGGTTTTATTCTGGTCAGTCTCCATTAGCCAGCACGTGTAGGGTACTTCAGGCTTTGGCTAGGCCGTGATATATGCATGAAACGTTGTCAGTCCCCTAATGGCCCACTGCAGTGTGTTAGTCTTAGAGACACAGCGGTGAAGCAGCATTGTCCATGTTCACTCTTACTCTGAAAAACAAATGTAGCTTGCCACTAGGGACAGACCTTGGGACAGGACCGTGCATGACTTGGAGCATCAGTTATAGAGGGGAGGGGGAAGTGCCATCTCAGCCTGTGTCTATTGGCACAGAACAGCTTGGGTGCAGTTACGATCTCTGAAACAGGCCAGCTGGGGACGGGGCTGTTCAACAGTGAGTCTTGGAAGAGGAGCAAAGCAGGAAGTTGCAAGAGAATTGTTAGGGGCGAGGGGAGAGACAGAGCGGGGGTTGTCAGTGATGGCAGCTGAAGGAATGCGACTTGTAAGTCTTGTTGGATAGAAGGCCAGGCAACGTGTGATTGGTGAATGGGCTGCCGAGAAGGACTATACCAGCTTGCTCAAAGACTTTGGGGGAGTGTGTGGTATGATCTCTAGTCATCCAAGCATGCGTGGTTTCCCGCCCTTTCATTCTCCAGCTGCCACCTCCCTCCCTTGCCCCAGGCAGCCCTCTTCCTCTCCCCCCTTTTCTCTCTGCCCCTCTCCTTCCATTGCTTCACTCAACCCTTGGTTCATTCCTCTTCGTTTAGGGGCTGAGATTGTCCTTCCCTGCTCTGGATGTGCCAGTTCTCAGCCAGCCCTGTGCTGTGCAGAATGTAGGCCTGCCTGCGAGTGGATTCAAAACTGGTGCCAGGAGATGGCTTGATCTAAGCAGGGGGAATGAAACTATCCTTTGCCTCTTCTCTGCTACCCCACCCCCACCCCCAACTTCAAATTCCAGCTGTGAGGGCTGGATGTGCTGTGCTCAGCTAGAAATCTGGGTCTTGTACAGAACTTGAGTTACCTGAGGGGAGGGCCAGTGGGATGGGATCACTGTGAGGGTTGGAGATGAAATGTAGTGGCATTGGCTTCACGTGATATTGCCATTGGAGATCTCCTGTGGAGTCCTCTTCCCCCTGAGAAAGACAGGTAATCTGCCTGCAGTTGTCCGTCATCTGCAGGGAAAGAAGGGGTTAACCCCCCTCCCCTCTCTACCATGCATAAACTAGAGTTGCTTCCTTGGAAAGAGAGTGGTCCCTGGGGCAAGATCTTGTCGAGCTGCTAATTGGCTGACTGCAGTCTCTGATAGGGGGAAAATAAAATGGAACAAAACTGATCAGGCTGAGTGGAATGTCTGAAAGTCGAGCCCACGGCCTCTGTTGTAAATGTCAGAGCTACTGCTGAAGCTTTCCAATGTCCTGCATCAGGATCTCCCATCTTCTCCGTTCTGTTCATTGTGATTCGCAAGAAGGGGAGCAGTTGAATCCCTTTGAGGAAAGGAATGGCTTGTTCCATTTGTCCTTGGAAGATGGTTACCTCAATTACTCTTCCACCCCTTTATTGTAAATGCTTCCTCTACGCGAGTGAGAGAACTGACACGGCTCTGGTATTCATGGGTGAAGGGGAGGGATGTGTCAGAAGAGCAGCATGGCTCAGCAGAAAGCCTTTCTCCTAGTGTTTAGAAATCACAGCTACGTACTCAGTGACACTAAATTAACGTTGGGGTCCGTTGTAAGTTCTAACGATACTTTATTCTAGGTTCTAGTATTTATTTTGTCAAGAGATGCTTTCCAATGTGTTTTTTAACATCATCTGTTAACTCCTTGTGTGCTGAGATGTAAAAAATGAATTGTTTCTATTTAAATATACCTCTTTTGGGTTTTGGTTTTAAACGTTGCGTGTAGATTGCAGGCGCATCTTTGGCGAGTGTAATAGATAACAATGTGCTGTACAGACTTTTAGGATGTTTAACACGTATGCAAGGTTCAAGGGAGAAAAAGCTCATAAAAACTTAGCATGGTCCCTCTTAAAGGGCAGAGTATATGTATGCTAAGTGGTCTGAGTTGGACCATCATGTAGCCTCCAATGTCCCTTTCTCCTGCCAACTTTTAATAACCCCGTCCCCCAAATTACATTTGACCAAATCAGCTCGGGTGCCAGCATTTCAGGTTTGTTTTTACACTTCCAGGCAGAGGGAGTTTTTAAGGAATGAAACTAGCTGCTTCCACCTTAAATGGAGGACTTTTACCCAGCCAGACATAGTGATGAGACTTGGTTTCCTCCAGTGGTGTAGCAGTAGATCTAGACAGGGGCTTCCAAAGGCACAGAAGGAGTTAATTGCCCAACTCCTGTTGGATTTTAGTGGGAGTTGTGCACCTCCTCGACTCCTTTGAAAGCCCCAGCCAATGTGACCTGTATCTGCTGCTTCCCATTCGCTACTCTTCTGTTTCCACCAGTGAGGATGGTACAGATGGTGGTGCTCCCATGTACCATTTATTATTATTTTTTTTGCCTTGTAAATTCTAGGGCCTCCTGTGTTGTTGGGATGTGCTGTGGGGCAGGGTTACGCTGGTTGGCTCCAGCCCTGGGCTCAGCTGATGGAGTTTGGTCTGTATTTGTTTACCTCCTCAGTACCAACCCCAAGGCTTGCAGAGGCTGTCCTGGGGGGGAAAAAAACAAAACTCAGGACAGGTTTTTTTTTTTCATGGAAATAATGAAGCAATCGGTGGGTAAATTGCATTCTTCTTGCAGGTAACTCTTTGATTGCCATAGGCATCCTGTTGGCATCTTCCCACTGCCTTTGTCTGACTGGCCCAGTAGAAGAATGCTGGCAGAAAACCCCATTCCTGCATGCATTTATAAGCACTCAGGTGCTGCTACCGTCCACTTAATAACCCGCTCCTGTCCCTTTCGAACTGACCCCTGTAGGACCAGTTTGCCCCTGTACTCACCATCCACAACTTCCCACGCGTAGCGGGTTGTCCAGATCACAACATGCCCTTTGACGTGGGACTTTAAAACCTCGCCACTCCCATCCCTGCCTCATACAAGCAGCAGTTGCACTATCCATCTGGGCTAAGTGCAAAGCTCCATTTGACTGCGAGCTGGCTTTACCCACCCATTGCTCCCTCCTGCTGTCTCCACCTAGTCAATGGCAAGCATATGCCAAACACACACCCCCTGCTCTGTGTTTTTATAAGTGTCAGCTCTTCATTCTGTAATGTTGTTATGAGCTACCATTAACACTACAAATGTAACCTGTGTAATAGCGTCTCTGTATATTAAAGCTGTAGGCTTTCCAGATAAAAGTGGATAATATTTATTTACTGAAGATACTGGGTATTTTTTTGTTTGGGGGAGGGGGTAGGGAAAGGGGACTTAACTGTTACAAATATTGACTATGTAAAAACAGAAGAAACACACACTAAATAAATGTGTTGCTGTCTTTATGTAGAAAGCCAGTGTGTTTACGTAAGGATGATCCAAGTGTATTACTCTACCATACTTAACTTACAGAAATCATCTCTCTAGTTTGGCTCTTGCATGTGCAATACTCCAATAAAAGCACTACTAGTGTGAACTGTACAGTGATGGCTATGAATCTGTGTCTTAGATACACCTGGTGTCTTGCTTTCCTTTCCTCCTGCTCTTCCTAACCAGACCGCTGATAACGTTTATTTTTGTCCATAGCTGCCTTGAGTTGCTCATCAGCCCACCAAGACTTTCCAGTGTTCCTTTCACACGATGCTCATTGTACAAAGCCGTCTTTCAGGTATCTTGAGTTGGTTTAAATGCACTAATTCTCAGACTTGACCCACTTCTAAAATTGTCCGCTGGTGGGAGATGTTCTCTGCGTTTGTGCTGAGGTGGATCTAGTTCCTGTGTGATGGTGTTGGATTGACAACCTGGAAACCAAAGATCTGTCCATAGAACTGGTATAATATGGGCGACAGCAATGCAGGCTTCTCCTCACTGCCCAACCCAGACCTGGAGCATGAGTAGAATGGAGATTGAAATCCACACATCCTTGGCATCTGAAATTGACTGCAAATTGGTGCCGGTTGTGTTGGTGACACCTGTCCACCTAGTACCAAACAACACACTCATTTCATAGGGACCACTGGATGGTCCTCAGATGATCACTCATTGAGAATCTGATTTGGTGACCTAGTAGCAAGAGGGCATTACTAATCCCCCGTCTGTCTGGTTCCTTTTGTGTGCTGTGGATTCTAGGTAGACCCCTTCTTATAATGAGTCTTCTACCTTGCACCACAGAGCTCACCATGCAAGTGCTACCAGACACCTATTCTGGGCACTTCCCCTACTGGCTGCACGGGATCAGTAAACTGCTGAAAATGCTGTCTCCCTAGAGCTGTGTCCACTTGTACCATTCTGTGGTGGCTGACAGCATACCCAGTACAGTAGTAAATGGAAGAGTAATTACTTTGCTAGTGTAGAACTAGAAATGCCATGAAATACGTTTTCCAAATGCAAACAGGCAAGGAAAGAAATGGTGCTGTCTAGTTCCCAAGAGGAAAGTAAAAGCAGTAGTGAGTAGTTTAAAAAACACCTGTTTAAAAAAAAATTTAAAGTATGGAGGTTGTTAACTTGAACTGTTCTGAGAATTAAGCATTTCCCCTCATAATAGCTGCAGGTTGGCTTTCAAAGTAGCTGAATTAAAGTGAAACAGGATAACTCTGAGAGATCACAAATAAAGCTGTAGTGAAGGTAAGGGCTGATTTTTCTCCCCCCCCCCCCCCCCTCCCATTCCCGACTGGTTAGATCAAGAGTAGGTGAGTGGTGCTAATAACTGATGCCTTTGAAAGTAAGCTTGTCTCGACTAAAGAACTGAAATTTCAATTGTCAGGGGGTAGCCGTGTTAGTCTGTATCTACAAAAACAACAAGGAGTCGGGTGGCACCTTAAAGACTAACAGATTTATTTGGGCATAAGCTTTCATGGGTAAAAACCTCACTGAGATTTTTACTTCTGTTAGTCTTAAAGGTGCCACAGGACCCTCTGTTGCTTTTAGAAATTATGTGCCACACATAGCCAATCCACTGCTGCTCCCGTCGCCTTTCCAAACACTGCACTGGTTTGTTCACTGTGAGTCAGATCATGTGCCTGACTCTTTGTGTGTCAAACGCTCTGGCAGGAGCTGTAGTGCCCAGTTCTATTCAGGACAAATGTGCATAGCTACCAGTGGCCTGACAGAGCAGAAATGGCATGAAAGTCACGAAGTTGTACATTCCCTGAACAACAAATGCTGGACTTGCGGTAGCACATTTTAGAATGCAAAACAAACATCAGCAGGAAGCTATGCCTGGGTGGAGAATACAGCCCCATAGGAAGTATGGGGTGTGACAGGCCTTCGTTCTGAAGACCTGGGTTCGAATCCCTGTGCATATGGTGCCATCCCATCCCCATCTGACTGCATGGCTAAGTCAAGCATGCTTGACGGTTACTACTCAGGAGAGGCCCACAGTGGGATGCATGGGGGGAGGGAGTTGGGGGTACCCATGGCACCTAAGTCTGTTTGCTGTATATATTTTGATTGTGTACATTCTCCTATAAAAGAAAAGGCACCAACACTGTTCTAGCAAGGGATACTGTAGATCAGGATTGAGGTGCATTAGCAAAGTCCTCTAGGGAGTTCAGGCCTGAAGTATAGGGATGTTACATACCGGTGCTGTAACAAGGGCAAGGTGAGGCACTTGCCTCGAGCCTGCAAAGCGGAGGGGCACAGCTCTACCGCCCAAGCCGGGCAGAGGGGAAAGAAAAAAAAAACGCGATCAGTAGCAATTTGGTGGCGGGTCCTTCCCTCTGAGAGGGACTAATGGGACTTGCCACCCAAGAGCCTGCACCCGGCCCTTGCCTCGGGCGCAAAAATTCCTTGTTACAGCTCTGCTGCATACTGAGGAGCTGTAGGGGGACCCAGAATTGGAATAGCTGGGTGTGCTGCAGGCCAGATTTAGTAGCAGAGCTGTTGGACCCTGGCCCTGGGGGTGCTGAAGGTTGGGATGGGAAGGGTTGAAATTAAATGAATGGAGATATCCTATCTCCTAGAACTGGAAGGGCCCTTCAAAAGTCATCGAATCCAGCCCCCTGCCTTCACTAGCAGGACCAAGTACTGATTTTGCCCCAGATCCCTAAGTGGCCCCCTCAAGGATTGAACTCACAAGCCTGGGTTTAGCAGGCCCATGCTCAAACCAGTGAACTATCTCCTGTATGGAACTCCAGGCTGGAAAGCAGAAGTGCAGGGGATGAATGGAGGTGCATCAACAGCTGCGTAGGCAAAGCTTGCATGGCTACCTCGACTTTCTATTCTACATCGTGGCTCATACTGCGCTCACTAGGATGACCAGACACCAGCTGTGAAAAATTGGGACGGGGGTGGGGGGGTAATAGGAGCCTATATAAGAAAAAGACCCAAAAATCGGGCCTGTCCCTATAAAATCAGGACATCTGGTCACCCTACGCTCAGCGCCGGCGTCTCTGAGAGCCTTTTGGTTGTGCATTAAGCGCGGGGACTGACATCTGTCCCCAGGTGTTTGCTCTCACATCCTGCTCCCCGCTTGGCTTGGGGGGGGCGGGTAGTTCTCCATGCACCTCCAACTGGCTTCTCCAACCCTGTCCAAGCAAGCGCGGGCCTGACCAGCTGGGCCCTGGGCTGGGCTGTGTCCCCGCCCAGCGCACTCAGGGGAGAGGTTGGGTGACTCTGAACCACGTGCACCGGCTGCTGCGTCCCCTGGGGCATGTACATGACGTAATCGCAGCCGGGCCGGAGCTGTGATGCAGAATCACTCCACTCCGGCCGGGCTCGCCCATTGGCTGCTTCCCCCTGGTTCTACGGGCGGGGTTTCCCTGCTTCTCAACCAAACTTAAGCGGGGGGGAGTCCCGCCCCTGATTGTAGCCCATTGGTCACCTGAAACGCGGCCCCGCCTATGGAGCCTGGTCCTGTTTTAACCCCTTCTTCTCCACTCTAGTTGGCATTGTTCTACCCGGGCCCCTCAGGAAGCTTGTGTGGGTCTAAAGCATCCTGCAATAGGCCGCATCCGCATTAGCAGGGGCTGAGCCCTGCAAAATTCTGCTTCTGCAGAGCAGGGAGCTTTCTGAGGGACAGGAAAAATAAATACTTGTCATTGTAATTCCTCGGGGTGGAGAGCCACTGTAGATTGTGTGTGTGGACCAGTAAATATTCATGACCATCTTTTAAGGCTAATAACTCCTGATCTTTCCAAATCTTTCCCCTGTGCCGTGTAAGTCCGAGATCAGCCTGAGAAGCTCTTACTACCCCCCCGGGATACACTTCAGGAACAGTAAGAGATTCTCTGAAAGAGAACGTAAGAACAGCCATACTGGGTCAGCCCAATGGCCCAGTGTCCTGTATCCAACAGTGGCCGGTACCAGAGCTTCAGGGGGAGTGCACAGAACAGAGCGTTTGGAGTAATCCATCCCTGTCTTCCCCTCCTGGCTTCTGGTAGGCAGGCTTGGGGGCACTCCAAGCATGGGGTTGCATTGCTGACCATCTTGGCTAGTACCCATTGATGGACCTTTGCCATAAACTCATCTAGTTTTGGCCTTCCCGACATCCCATGGCAATGAGTTCCACAGGTTGTGACGTGTGTGGAAAAAGTACTTACTTTTGTTTGTATTAAACCTGATGTCTATTAATTTCCTTGGGTGATTCTTGGTTTTTGTATTGTGGGAAAGGATACATAACATTTTCCCCCACACCACTCATGATTTTACAGACCTCCATCATATCCCACGCCCTGCATTGTCTCTTTTCTAAGCTGAGCAGCCCTCATCTTCTTAGCCTTTCCCCATATGGAAGCCGTTCTATACTCTTGATCATCAGAGAAGGGAAAAGCTATTACGTAATGCTCGCTACTGTGCCTTTTGCCCAAGAGGCTGAAGCAGAGGGATTAGTGTGGTCTAGACTTTAGAGCAGAGTGGTGAGTTGGAACTCCTGGGTTCTGTTCTCATCTCTGCCACTGACCTTTGGTAATTCCCCTAACCTCTCTGTGCATCAGTTTCAAGCCTCTGCTGAAAGGTGCTGTAGAAAGAAAGGGTATTGTGTGTGTAGGCCTCCACTTTCCGTGAGCTCCATCCACATTCTATGGCAGGAGTCCATCATGTATTGCTTGTGTTTAAAACATGGAACAAACTGAAAGATGCTGTCTGGATTGGAGACAGGCAGGCACCTGCAGGTTTCTTTCTCTGCATTAATATCATTAGTTTACGGTCTAGCTTTAGACTGTGTTGGAGGGCTAGGAGCACCAGCCTGGCTGCTCATTACCAACAGGGAGTAAGGGTGCATGGAGGGACGCCAGCTAGTCACGTCTTTCAGAGGCAGGGGGCTGTTCTTCGATACTTTCCACTGAATGACTGATGGTTTGTGTCATACCTGGGAACAATGGCCCTGTCTGAAAGATACTTCTAAGTCCTTTGCCCTGGTTTTGGGTGAAAGCATCTGTTATGCACACTCGGGTCAGCCTGATTACCTGAGCCCTATCCAATAGCAGCAAAGAGGTAAGCTGCAGAATAGTAAACGATATCTGATTTCATTCCAGGCATTGAACTAGGCAGAGACTTGTGACGCGTGCCTATGAAAAACCTTTTCAGTCCTGTCACCTCTAGATCTTCCTTCAAGGCATGGGGTGAGACTGCATGCATCAAGTGTGAATGCCTAGAGCCCTGCACGGATACAAAATTTGTATCCCCATCCAATCTGCAAACATGATCTGCAAGTATCTGCGGATTTGCAGGGCTCTAGATATAAAATTTGTAGCTGGCTCGATCCGAAAACATCGTCCGCGGGCATCCGCAGAGATAAAGCGGACAGCGGTAGATTGGCAGGGCTCTACTAATGTCACCGACTTGATATAATCTTCTTAGATTACACCATGGTAACCACACTTCAGAAACACAGCCCTAGGCCTGTTCAGGAGAGTTCCGCTTTCCCTGTTCACCACCACCTCTTGCTTCAGAACAAGTCTCCTTCCAAAGGGTTCTTGCTCGTAGGTGTATCTGAGCATTGACTTCTGCAGAGTCTCTCCGACAAGCTTTGGAAAGACTAATTATGCTGTCTTCCTGGGCTGTTGCCTCTATTAATTCAGACTCCCCTTCGTGATAACATAAGGGATTTCTTTGAGATTTGGGGCCAGCTAGGTGGCACTGTCCCTAATCCACCTCTTCCAGGCATTTGGAGTCCTGCAGCTCCTCTTTATCCTCCTTGTGAAGACTGCTAGCTGTCTGGGAGGGGGGAGTTGTACCAGCAAATCATGCTGCAGAGCTGTGCAAAAACCTAGGGTTAGGTTGCCACCCTGCAATCGATCTCTCTTAGGAGAGGGCTGCACATGGTAAAAATAAATAGTCCCTAAAAGGCAGGCATGGCTGGGGAAGGCTTTTACTTTCTTCTGGGTCTCTTTCCTCACAGCAGTTCTCTCTAAACCAGATCTAAACCTCCTAGAGGGTGAGTCGAAAAAGGACAAGGGATGGCTGCAGACTCCACACAGGGATCATTTATTCTCCCCCAGAGCCAGGCCTCCAGAATGCTTCCTCCCCGTCTAGCGGTGTGTGTTCTCCCTGCTCCATGGCAAACAGAAAGGGGCAGCACTTCCAGGGCGGTTTTTTCCTAGTAAAAGGCGGCTGCAGGGTAGGCGCGACAGCCTGTGGCTGCATTCAGTTAACCCCCGGGGCTTTTTGCTGTGGATAACCGGAGGGAGGGGGGCAGAATAGATCTAGGGAAGCCTCCTGCAGAAGCAGATTCCCAACGCAGCCTTGTACCTGTGCTCGCTATGATGGAGAGGAGAAAAACTCCGCTTGCATTTCTCTCTCTTTCGGAGCCTCTGCGCTGCAGCCACCGAGAAGATTAGACAACAATCAGCCACGCGGGGCGGTTTTTTACTTGCAACATTGCAATGTATATCGAGGCGGGGGGGGGGGGAGTCATTGTACCCCTGGTCAAAGGAAGAAATGCAGCACCAGCCCCCATGACATGAGATCCCAGGCGTGCTGGGTCCTGCGCCCCGCTCCCACTGCGACTCCCCCGGACGAGCCAAGCGGGGGGTCCCCAGCGTACGCCGCTCGGTGCATTGGGAAGAGGAGGGTCGAGAAGTGCTGCTGCGAAAGCCCAACCCCGCCAGAAACCCAACAGCCCTGCCCGTTGCCTCCAAAATCCAAACCCAATCCCGCCGCTGCAATGGGCCTCTTCCTCCTGGGGCACCCCCCGCCTGCTCCCCTCAAGCAACGGGTCCCCGGCGCTGCAGGCTCCCGCTCTGGGGGAGGGGGAAGGGTGCGCCTGCCCTAAAAGGCTGTGGCTGTCAATCAGGCCGAGGAGGCGGAGCCAGAAGCGGGGGCTCCGCCCCTCCCTACCCTCGCCAGTAGCAGGTTTGAGCACAGTTCAATTGAGCAACTTTTTTTCCCCCCTCCCCAGCCCCAGCCATGGAGGTGGGGGCCGCGGGCAGGCTACGGCCGCTGCCCATAAGTTGGGCTGCGCGTGTTTGCTGCTGAGTTGCTTGTTTCCATGGCCTTCTCCGGGGGAAGGATTTGTTAGCAGGAAAAAAAAGGGGGGGAAGCCCCCAGAGCCCAGCAGCACCCGCCAAAGTGACCCCCCCCAGCCAGGGGGGGACACTACCCTGCAGAGCCGACAATGACCAGCCTCTGTTTTGATGACACTTCCCTGGACAACCTGGACCCTTCCTTGACTCTCCAGGAATCCAGCGAGATCACCACTGCCCTGCTGAGCGACATCGACGGTGGGTAGCGGCCGGGCAGAGCTGGGACCGAGGAGTGGGCATGGCCGGGGGGGAGGGCAGCGCCTGGGGCAATGGACAGCTGACCCAAGGGTCTGGGGGCAGGGAGGAGCTGGGGGTGGGGATGTGGGGGCTGCAGGCGCCTGTGAACCCAGGCGTCCGGCTTAGGCAGGGTGGGCTGGGCTTTACTTCGGTGCTTTTGACCCTTCAGCATGGTGGGGGTGGGAGGGTTTCTTTGCCCCCCCCCCTCCCCGCAGCTTGGCCCCTTCTAGCCCCGTGTTTCTAAGCTCCGGGATCGCACACGTGTGTACGCGAGAGGGGCAGCGACCCGCAGGCGCGCACCGCCTTTCGGGGGCTCTCTTCTCCCTCGGTGGGGTGGGGGGCTTGGTGCGTGGATGGGTGGCGTGGTGCATGGATGGGGGGGGGTCTGTGATTTCCGATCGCGCTGGGGGCTCCCTATGTAATTACCCCCCGATCGATTTTGCTTTCAGGAGCCTGCTGCTGTCCCCTGCCCGTGTCCCCCCCCCTCTCCCGCCCCCCAGGCTGCCGGCTGCAAGTGGGGTGCCCGCTCGGGGGGCTCGGAAGCCAGGCCCGCTAATAATAAACCCAGGCCGGCCCCGGGGGGTGGGGACGCTCCTCGGGTGGCTCCGGCTCCGCGCCCGCTGCTGGGCTGAGTTGTTGCCCCAAGCCCCGCCCCTTTGCTCCCCGGGGGCCCTGACGTCAGCGGGAGGGTTACTCGCGGTCATTTCCCTCTTACCGAGGAGAGTTCAGCCGCGAGCGCGCGGGCGGCCTGCAGGCGGCGGGGGGGCGTGGGCCGTGCCCCCAGGCCGGGCATCCCTAGCCGGGGTGCAGCCCTGCTCCTGACCCCCTCTGCGTGCGTGATGCACCCGCTGCCCGCTCTGTGCAGTGCCCGCGGGCTTCCCAGAGAGCCCCCCAGCCCCGCGGGGGTCGCTGGAGCATAGGGGCACAGTGCAATGGGCAGCCCCCCCAAACCGGCGTCTTCCCCTGGCCGTGGGGAACCCAGGTGGGTGGTTGGGCCTCGAGCGGGACGTTTGGTCACTGGCCCCTTTGCCCGGGATGCTTGGGGCAGGATAAAGGCGCCTGGCGGAGCGTGGCGCAGTGGGTTGGAAATGCAGCGTCACCGGTTCGCCCCGCAAAGCGCTCCTTTGCGAACCCTGATGGGTCCCGCGAAAGGCTGTAGCCCAGGAAAGTTTATGCTCAAATAAATTCGTTAGTCTCCACGGTGCCACAAGGACTCCTCGTTCTTTTTTCCGGGCTGTAGTGAAACCTTAGGAGACCTCTGCTGTGGTTCAGGGTGCCCAAGGGTCTCCGTCAGAGCCTGCGTCCGTATGGGTCTTGTTTATTTCGGGAGAGCCCAAGAAACCCATCTTGCTAGATGCAAGAGCCCATCGTGCTAGGCACTCACCGGAACGTTCGCCTGGTGAGCTGCGGCTCTCCAGGCCTGGACTGTGCCAGGATTAGACTTTATCTCATGCCATTTTTTGCGTTCAGGGACAGTGGGGATGAGGGGGCACATTTGGGGGGGGGAGAACCCCCAAAGTAATCATGGGTGGGTGGAAGGGCCGGATCTAAAGCCCAGCCCCCCAATGGGAGGCTTTCCGGTGACTTTGGATCAGGCCCTAAGAGAGCGTGGTTTAACAGAGATGACATTTGTGTGCTTCTGCACGCTCAACCCATCCCTTCCGACGTTCGTCAGTCCAGGAGCGGCGGCGCATTCTGGTTTTGTGAGTGATCTGAAGCACCCGATTCAGTTCCAGCGGATGGCGGTAGTTCTGCGAAGCATAGGGGGAATTTTGTGGCTCCGGAGGGCCCCCGTGGCAAAGCCACTGGAGTTTGTGAGTGCTTAGGGCAGCTAGCTGTGGAGAAAGGCATGCATGCGGCTGTTGGACTTGTCAGCTGAATTTGTAAGTGGTGGAAGGCGATTTCTTTTTCTGCCAAAGACAATTAAAAGCAAATGATCGGGAAAATAACCTGCTAAGAAGGCGCTTGAATCAAGCGGT